AAATTAGAGGCAATTCATTAATTAATTGAAAAATTAAACATAATAGATAAAATAATTGCAAAATTATAATAAAATCAATTGATTAAAAAATTAAAAATTAAAAATTTTAAAATTTTAAATTAAAAATTTTCAAGTTTCTGATTTTTTCCTTTGTATTTACCTAACTACCTATCTGTATGCCAAATTTGAACTTTCTAGGTCATCTGGAACTGGGTTAGAATTTTGATCTATAGGTCAGTCAGTGACAAAAATGACGATTTTCGGACGTTAATATCTAAATAACGGTTTGAAGTGTGTTTATGAAATTTAGAGCACATATGTATCTCATTAGTCTCAATATATGAGCCAAATTTGAAATGTTTATGTGGAATAGTTTTTGAGTTATGAGGGGGTCAAAAGTGGCTCCAAATGGTTCGTGTAATATTACACACGGTGCTGCTCGCCAGTTCTGTTAGCTAGAACTTGGCTTGGCACGCTACCGCGTGTCTAGATAGAATGTGTTATATTGCATGGTTGATGTCTATTCTAAGTTACAAGATCCAGGTTTTAGCTCGTCATAATATATTAATCTTCCACATAAAATTGCAGGGTTATAAATGTTTTCAATTATTACTGTTAACCTTAGTCATCTACAAAAACTTTCTAAGTGAGGCTTATAGTTATCCGTAGATAGATTTTTAATAAAAATTAAATAAAAATAAACTTGAATAATATGTACAATTAAAACTAACTAGCTGATCCTGTGCACTTCTTTGCCCGTTAAATGTATCAACTCTATATGACTCAACCTTTGTTCAATTCGTTATTTAACATTCGGTGTATGGTGTTCAAAATGTATCTTAACTTTTCCGTTGTCAGGAATAAAAATTCTGATTCGCAGCAGTACATTATCAGGTGGCCATCCACCTGCTGTAAATCGTGGACCCCGTGCTGTTTGTACGTAAGTGCATGATTTAACTCTAAATTCACATGTGACAGCCATTGTAAATAATCAAACGTCTGAATTTGTTCACGTTTATTATTAATGCTGATGGTTAATTTAATTACATGTTGCAAGTTCTCGATTAGTTTAATCCACTAGCTACTACAAAAACTACTAATACTACTACTATAAAGTATTATTATTATTACTATAAATATATTTTAAATGGTTGACGGTCGACTCTCGGCTACTTGAATTCAATAAATGGGGGTAGTGGAAAATGGAAATTTGATTTAATAAAAATACCAAAAGTATCAAAAATCAACTATAATTAATGTAATGGCGTGTAAAGAAAAATCAAATGCATTTGTGATATCCTGAATTTAGAGGTATTAAGGGTTGGCTCTATTTTATATTTATTTCTTGTTTACAATAGTTTACAGACAAATGTAATGTAATTTCATTGGTCTAGATAAACGAAGTACGAAATAAATAAATATACTTCAAAACTGTATTTCTAAGAGTCCAGTGTTCCCGTCTCTTTTTGTCTAACTTTTCGCAGACACATATATATTCATTTTAAATAAACAGTGTTAAATAAACATATTCTGTTAACAAACCTTACATGAAAAAAAGTAATGCATGCTCCTTTTTTTGTATTTTTGGGTCACACAATTAAATCAGAGAACGTGGCTCTTTACAAATACGAAAGAATCCGTAGAATACAAAAGCAGTTTAAAAATTAAACAAACCACTCAAAAAACTGAAACAGTTAAAAGTCAAAGTACATGACAATTGTAATTCCATTTCTGCTTTTGAGTTGGATTATATTAAAAGTTAATAATAAAATGTATGAGCTACTTATAGCCATCATCTCTTCATCTAATATGAAGATAGTATTTTTAAAACAGGTCATCCATGTCTGTTAGTAACATGGTAATCATGGGTAATCTTTGTAAATCAAGGGTAATCATTTAAATCAATAATCTCGTGTACAACATTTATTTACTTCTCGATTGTGACTTCGCCTGAAAAAATAATTTAATTTTACATTAATTGTAATGATCATGTTACTCAACTTAGTGTTTATGGTTATTTAGAAGTTAGAACTAATACGTAATAGTATAAACGAATGACTATATTTGTGATTACTTATATTATTCACAACATTTAAGGAGTATCCTTTGGAGGTCCAATTTTACAAATGAGAACCTACATGTGTAATGAAAATTGTGAATCATATTATTTTACTGAAAATTTGGACGTATTGTAGTAAAAGTTTCCGAGTGACTATACTATAAATAATAAAGTATAATGCACTACTAAAGACATATTATTTACTTTTCTTTGGTCCATTATTCACCATGCCATTACAAATAGCGTTTGATATTTGCGTGGCTTAAGTCCTACTATAATAATATTGTGTAACCTTAAAAAAGTTTTATAAAATGTTTGGCTTGTTTTGGGGAGGGGTATATTGTAAGGGTTGGGAGGCTTGGACCATAAAGACTCTCCTCTATTCGAACCCCTACGCTATCCAGAAATTTTATCTAGGCGTTCATGGACTTAGAGATTAAGGGAGGATAACTCAACTAGGGAGTACTATATTCCCACCTATAAGTTATAACACATTAACATAGTAGTATGAAATATTTTTTAACCATCCGTAACAATAATCATAATACAATACGTATTCGTCCACTGTAAATAACACTCGAGTATTACCTACCTATATTATGTATAGTACAACGTGGAATTTTCTGCAGAAACATATTTATTTGCTTTAATCAAACAATTTTAAATAAACATAATATTCTGTTAACAAGTCTTACATGTAAAAGTGTATGTATATGAATATGCACCTTTTGTTTTTTTGGGTCACATACTTAAATGAGAAAACATTACTTTTAAAGTTTTAACAAATACGAATACGTTAAATACAAAAGTAGAGAAAAAATTTATCAAACCGCCTAAAAAATCAAAACTGTTAAATGTTATAATTCATAAAAATTTAAACTCATTTCTACTCCTAAGTTGGGTTGTATGAAAAGTAGATAGTAAATATAAGCCATTTATAGTCATCATCTCTTCAGCCTCGTAAAAAACCAATCTCGAGATTTTTTAAATGTTGACTTTGGTTAAAAAAATTAGTAACAAAAATCAATTATAGATGTAATGGCGTTTAAAGAAAAATTATAAGTATTTGAGATGTCAAGAATTTAGAGATATCAAGGTTCTAGTTACCAAGAGTTAACTACTTCATATTAATTCCATGTTTACAATAATAGTTAACCGACAAACATAATGTCGTTTCTTTCGTCTGGATATTATACTATGTTCGAAATCAAATAATACATACTGTATTATTTAGAGGCCAATGATCACGTGTATAAGACGTGTATTATATTGTATGACGTGGAGCTTTTAGCAGAACACATTTATTCATTTTAAACAAACCGTGTTAAATAAACTCTAACAAGCCATGCATGTAAAAAGCGATCCGTTTGTGCCCTTTTTGTTTTTTTTGGTCACAAACTTAAATCAGAGAACATGGATTTTAACAATTACGGAGGAATACGTAAATTAATACAAAAGCAGGACAGAAATAAAATTGAACAAATAACTTAAAAAATAAAAACTGTTAACAGTTAAAATTCATTACAATTTAAACTCCATTTCTACCCGGGAGTTGGTTACATGAAACATAAGCAATTTATAGCCATCTCTTCATGTTCAAAAAAGTCTACGTATTCTAGGTAATACGAAAATCTAGGTATTCTTCAAATTTCGACATATACAACGTTAAAAGCAAGACTATGGAAGATTTAAGATAGATAATTAAAATGGAGATAGTTTGTAGTGAAAAACGTTTGCAAAAACTTATGAATCTTACAACATTCAAACACAGTACTACGTACTACGAAACTCTCAATGCCATATCATTAGAAAATAAAATTATCAAGTTTTGCAAGTCAATATATATAATTTACTATTATCAACCATATTTTAATATTTTTTTTAATTTTCATCAGGTTTTGTAGTGTTGGAAATTAATTCTAAGACCCTCATGTAAGATTATCACTATAACGTTATGCAGGCACATTATGGTGATAAAATTGAGCTCATGTATACAGATACAGTAATGTTTTCAAACTAAACTAATTTTTATTTATTAATTTATATTGTTTTTTAGATTCACTGGTATACTATGTCCAAACCAATGATTTTTACAAAGACCTGGAGAAGAATTCTAATTTACTCGATTGAATGGATACATCAGACTTACCACCGGATCATCCATATTACATTTCCGAACGAAAGAAAATCCCAGGTCTATTTTCCGACAAAACAAAGTCAGATTTTACTACGCATTTTTGTGCTCTCCACTCAAAGTCTTATACATATAAGATCAATGGCAATTAGAAGATCAGAGCAAAAGGTATCCGAGGTCATGTGGTCAGAAACCATATGAACTTCAACGATAATTATCGATGTCTGTTTGGTGATACAACCTTGGATTTAAAGACGGGTAATGTCTCTATCCGTTCGTCCAAACCATAGATAATAAAGAATGGATAGGCCATTCCTATACTCTTAACGTAAAGTGCCGTGGTCCTAGAGAGCAGATATATCTCTGTTTCATAAAAGTGCTATATACCCAAATGGTTGTTGTGGTTATTTATGTGGTTAATAAGAGTTTTTATCGTCAATGTGATAATATCTTTATTATCTATGATAACAATTCACAAGTCACAACGACCAATTCGAATATTCCAAATAGGTACACGATTTCATTTTTAAAATTTAAAATATCTATAATTACTATTTACTAATTACTAAATACTAATTAGTTATTAAGTTTTGGTTGTATTTGATTAAAACATAATTATGGCTCACCTTTGTGTTGTGTGTAAAACACATGATAATCCAAAAACTGGTGACACGACTCTATCATTCCATTTGTATCATAAATCATAATATCATTCATCATGGGCTTTAATATTATTACCTATTATTTATTTAAGATAATATATATTATTATAGGTTTCCATAAGATGTTACATTATGGCAAAAATGGATGGACAGTCTAGGACTCACCTCCGAGTCTAATTGGCACCAGTTATGTTCGAAACATTTTGATATAAATTGTATCAAAAACATAAATGGTTACAAACGTAAACTATGGCATACTGCTGTACCAAGTTCATGTACCGCTCAATTTGAAGTAGTACATCAAATTTGTTCACTTGGTATATATGTAAATCCAGAAACAAATATAAGTTCATGCACTACTCAATTCGAAGTAGTACATCAGATTTGTACACCTGGTGCCACAAATGTAGAAGAACTCATTGAAAATAATTAAAATCCAGAAGAACATAAGTACATAACATAACTATTTTGGACACTTCTTTCAACAAAAGGTAAACAAAATGTATTATTTATTATTTAAAATTTGAGTTCTTGTCAAATTATTTTATATTTTTCCAGTTTATCTGATTGCTCTGTGATTGCAACACTAACCATAAAAAGAAAAATGTTGAATAGTACACGGGTTGGTGACTTGTCTATTGAGAATTTTTCAACACCAAAAAGGAAAAAAACAAAAAAACAAAAAGAAACATTTAAATGTTATCAAATCTACAATATCAAGTGTACGACGCAAAAATAAATTGTTAAATCAAAACAACAGAAGGTTCCAACAAAAAGTACATTCATTTAATGGATTACTTAATGTGTAAAAAAAAAGTCTGGTTTCCGAAATTGCTGCTGATAATTTAAAGGGGTACCTTAAATTCAGTTACACTTAAGAGGATGCTACCCACGCATTTGTTGCCTCCGTCTTACACACGTACGACATATCAAATTTTCGTTCAATAGTTTCAATAGTGTACAGTTAGTTTTGATATTAGAGTGATTGGACCTATTATCAATATTTTAGATAATAACATATCTGTGCTTAAGCGTTGTCTTTTAGGCCTAGTTCACATAAGAGCATTAAACGCGCGTTTAACGCTCTTCATGTGAACCTAGCCTTATTCGATATTTTAATTTTCATGCGAGTTATGAGCGTTTTTAATTTTTGATATTTCAAATATCTTGCTTGGAAATTAAAATTTTGAAAAAATCGGCAAAGCTTAATCACAGATAATGTTCTTACCTAAAAGTTTTATAATAGGTAAATTTACTCTAGTATTAAAACTAACAGCGCACTATTGAAACTAGTGGAGGACTATTTGCTATGTCATGGGTGTGTAAGACGGAGACAACAAATTCGTTGGTAGCATCTCGTTTATTTTGAATTAAAATCAACTACTTAAGTTCCTAACTAGTTAGTGCCCAGCTCTGTAATTTGATAGTTAAATAATACAATTAACAGTTGATTGGAATCAAAAAAACAAAAACCCGAACAAAATATTGTGTTTGTAATGTTAAATTGACCTTTCAATTATATTTTATTGATTCCTACTAATTAAAATAATTGTTAATATTATATTTATTATTATAATTGTTATTTATTACCATGTAATTACTGGTAATTATTATTAGAATAGTAATTTTGTGAATAAATAAATAATAATTATAATGTAAAGAAAAGGCCTATACCATTGATTAAATATACATAGATAGCCCACGTCAATCGGCATTATGGAAACTAGTTAATTAATAGCATAATATGTCAATAGAGGGCGTGCAGAGTCACGGTTGAAAATTAAATTATTTATGTTGGAAATAAAATATTAAAAATACCAGTGATAACAGTAGTGCCGAAAATCGTCGTCAGTTCAGAGTTCATTCTTGGAAATTTGAAATAATCAATGAGATAAGAAATAATCTAAAAGATTATTATTATTATTATTTATTAATTATTATTATTATTAGGCTGGTTCTTATACTATGTCCGGTTAAAGTTAACCGATATATAATACAATATTATGTAACTTTTTAAAACTATTTAATTTACTTTTTTTTTCGGAATTGAAATTCCAGCTGAAGACTTATTTATTTATTATACATTGAACTATTTAAGTCGTTTATAATAAATTACCTTATAATTAATAATATAGAAGTAAAGTATAATAAAATACAATTAAAAAAAAAACACATTGATTGTATACTTAACTAAATTTGATCAAACATTTTTTAATATTTTTAACTTTGATAAGGTTTGAACTTTCATATTTCTTGATTTCCAGTTAAAATCTCTTAACAATTTACATTCAATAAGATGCATTGTAACAAATTCTAAATGAGATGTACATTCTGAATCAATATCAAGATTGGGCCATATTTTTTTAACAATCAACTTTTTAACACTTAATCCAATTTGTAGTTTATGAGGTGTTTTTAAAACAATTTTAGCCAGTAATTTTTGACAATGTGAAATATAATTTGTAAAATCATCTGTTGGTACATTCAAGCCAAAGTGACCTGATTTTGATCCATATGCTCTACAAAAAATTAAATAATCTTCATCACTAAAATTAATTGGTGTGGCTGTTAGCATAAATTGTTGACATTTTTTACAGTTAAATTTTTCAATGCATTTTTTACCCAAATATCCACTAAAATATTTATCAGAGCATTTAGACAGAGATACCATAGGAATTTCAATAGATTCATCATCATCAAATGAAAAAGACAAAGATGAACTATCCATTAAATCATCATTGTTGTCATTATTTTCCAATACATTTGTATATGAATCAACTTCTAAGATATTATGGTCATTATCGGCCCCACAGTTTGAAGCTATTGAAGGTTTCATCAGATGCATTTTTGTCATCATTTTGAAAGTTATTCTAAAAGCCCTTGCAGTTGGATTATTATTATTATATCCACCCTTTTGCCGAAAAACTGAAAATGAGTTTTCAATAGCATCTTGATTTAAGCGAGCAGTTAATAAGTAATGAAAACCGATTTTCTTTTGTTCTTCATACACACCCAATATTGCATTTATTGTCCACTCTAAACCATCAAAAGTATATGGCCGACCATGGCCTTTACATTTTTTCAACTGTGAACACCAACGTTTAGCTTCTTCCAATTGCAAACGTATTAGTGGTCTTTCTTCAGAAATAGCACATTTATAAGGATTTGAACAATAAAGAGATTGACTATTCAAACAATCAAATAAGTTATTTATTTCTTTTACAAACTCGGCAGTATGGGCGGCAGTTGGCGATTTTAACTCTTGTGTCATAATACAAGTACGCATAGTGGCAAACATTGACTTGCTAAATATTTGTAAGGCCAGTTTACATGACATTTTTTTAAAAGGGCCGGGATTAATATGAGAGTCAGTAATTTTTAAAAGAGAACGAGAAGTTGAACTACTTTTATCAATCATATATGTTTTTTTTATATCTTGAAAAGAAACTTTATTATTTTTAAATATAAAATCACTACTTAAAAAATTATTTCTTATATTTTTTATAAGATGTGGAACGTCATAAACTGAAAATATTTTATTTCCATTCACTTCAATCCAGGGTTTGTCCTTAGTAAAACCAAGTTTGGTTAAAGCAGATCTATTGTTAGGTCCTTGATCACATACAATTGCTTTCACATGGAGCTTACAAGTCATCAACTGATTAATCTGTTCTAAAATTATTTCTGAAAGAGTAGTGGCTTTCATCGATGTAGAAGATAAAAAATATGATACTGGTAATTTCCACGATGAATAAATTCCTCTTATCATAAAAACCATAGCTTGACTTGCCATAGCTGAAGTCCTCCCAAAAGTTCCTAAATCCTCAAAACCTTCTACAGTATCTAAAACCTTTGAATACTCTAAAAATCGTTTAATTTTCATTTCATCAAATATTAAGGTGCAAAATGTTTCTTCATATGTCATTGAGCTAACTTTCATTTTTATTTGTTGATATAAATTAGAATTAAAACCAGGCCTAAATTTAGAAGCACCAACCCAACGTTTAATTGTTGCTAAACCAGGTAAATTAATTTTTGTTGATCTTAAAAATTTGTAAGCTGATGGAGACTTGTAATAAAGTCTAAGGGAAAAATCTTTTTCAAGGTTTGTCCATGGTTTTCTACTGATGTTTTGACGGATTTGCATTTTAACCAGAGTTTGAGAATCGGTTGATGGAAAACTTGAAGAATTAAAAATATTTTTGTTTTTAAATAAATGTCTTGAATTTTTAAGATTTTTTTTAAGTTTTGCTATGGTTGAACGTTTATTTGAAATCACTTTTTGTTTAAATTCCATTCTTTCTTTCATTTTTTTAATGTAATTTGATTGTTTTTTTGTAGTTTCTGTTAGTTTCTGAATTTGTTTTTCAAAATTAGATGAAGATTCTGGCATATTAAGTGTACTATCTAACCATGATCGAGTTTTTGGAGTTAAAATTGGTGTGTTATCTTTTGATCCTATTGTTAAATTAGTTTTTGTTGGTGTTAGCAAATGAATAGATTTTGGCGATTCAAAGTTAAGACAACATGAATCAGAATTATCAATAAATGATAATTTTTGTTTGACTGGAGTTTTAAATGATGAAGGTGAAAGAGGAGTTGATTTATAATTTGAAATTGAAGATGGATCTAAATTGCACATATTCTCAGAAGATTTATAAGGATATGTGTAAAGTTTTTTTGGTGAGCGTACATGAAACGGCACTACAGGTTCATACGGCACTGGTACAGCACTACGCTTTAAAATTTTTTTTGAGAAATTTAAATAATCATCAGCTAAAAAGTGATCAGAACAAATTTTTTTTTTCCTTAAATCTTCAATTTCTAAATGTATAAGATCAGTGTTTCCTGTAAAAAAAGGTAAAAATATTGACAGTCATAGAAATTATAATATTAAATATTATGAAATTCAAACAATTAATTTCTTTGGATTGAATAATATCGAATAATAACTTTAACTATTCATATAAATTATATATTTTGGTTTAACATAATTTGGTAAAATAAAAACAAAATAAATTGATGTAGATAATATATATTAAATTTTAGATCCTGAGCGGATCAAATATAAAGTGTAATTGTTGTATTATAAAATATCCTGGGTTAACATATTATTTTGGCTCAGTATTGGTTTTTTGATATTATCATTAATTACCCACCTATATATACAATAAAATAAAAAGTATTTTAAATATAATCAATGATAGATACAATGATATATCATTGAAATCAAACTTAACACACCCATTACAGTGATCCACTCAATGCTCTACAGCGGAGTGGTAGTGTGGTACACACCATTGGTTTTACTGATAATTTTGAAAAATATTTGAAACTATCAATGTTGACAAACTACACTCAATTTTTAACTAGAAACTTCCCTCAAAGTTAAATATCGAAGAATTTTTACTGCTATAAAATGTGTACACATAC